CTGCTTCTGTACCTTAAAAACAATGTAATAGCTCTCAAAGTGTCACGCTGGATTCAATAATGTAAAGCATGCAACTTTATATTGCGCTACTGATCTATGGCTAACAATTCTTGCAAATGCATCTATTGCTTTTTTTTTCTTCTTCAAGTAATCCTGCTTTTCCAGTAAGATAGGGCTTATTTGAATCCATAGGCCATAGTGCCTTTCTTGTTACAGGATGCAAGAGATCATTAAGAAAGCAGAAGAAATTTAGCAAGATGCAGCACAATGTACTTCTCACCATAATTTCATCCAGACAAATTAGGTAGTCATAGTATCTCCAAGATGGCAGCTTTGAGAAGCACCTGGAGATGTTTGAGATGATCATAGCATCTCTGCTGAGCACATAGCAGCCAGTAATACTACACAGCACTTGGAAGACGAAGACAGTTCCTCTAGAGCAGAGGACAGAAGGGAGTTTCGGTTGATGAAGTGGAATTAATAAGTTTAAATTTGACTAGAACATTCATCTGCTTCTGGGATAAATGCTACGTGATCCTTGATGACAACTCAGTATTGCTTCCCAGGTCCAGGCCATTGAGAAGAAAAGAGTACTGCGCACCCAAAATGACTTGCACCAACATCTCATGATCTCTCATTCAAACACTGATCCCGTCCATCCCTGATCTGCTTATGAGATCTGCAGAGATCATAGCACAGGAGGCCACGGTTGTGAAGTTACTCACACATTTTTAAAAGAGCAGTGTAAAAGCTATTGCTCAGGGAGCTTCACTCACTGCAGTAATGTTTACTAAGAACTTGTGGTACACATCAGTCTGCTTCAGCAAGTGAGGCACAAAGCCCTCAAATAGGCAATGCTGTAACAAAACAAAACCAGAGCAACACCTCAACCACATGCCAGCTTCGGTTCCTCATTTCCAGTCCAAACCCTGAGAGCTGCTAGCTTTTGGATACGTTAGAAAACATCGCTGCCAGCACGTTACCCACCAAACAGAGGCAGGGGAGGTTGTAGCATCTCACAAACACTAGAGTGACTCTCCCTTAAATCAGGTAAGTATGAAGCTATTCCTAGTGAAGGATAAGAAGCTAATGATGGTTATTAATAGCCCTTAAAGCTAACAGTTCATCTGAGTTAAATGCAAGAGTAATAATCCCTTTATGACCTTCCCCATTTTTACTGGGGAAATGGACAAAGTTCCATGAGAGACTCCCGTTAGCCACAGTTTTCAACTATTTCAAATCTTGAAAATTACACTAAACAATCAGAATCTACCAGGCTCTGCTATTTATACATATCACTGAGGACTTAAAACAGAAATGGCAGGCAGGAACTTTGCCTTTTACCACCTCTTCTTTTGCCCCAGACTTCCACAGGTATTGAATCTACATGTTAATCTGCCATGAGGCATGCCTGGTGACTACAGATCACCCCATTTGAGAAACTGGATTGCAGTGATAAAGATGGTAAGGATTTCTTGCTGTTCTTCACTGTTAGTCACAAATCATTAGCCCAGAAAACTTGCTCTTGTAGCAAGGAAAACTATTACTAAACCCAGTCAAGCCTTAACCTGAAATACAAGAGCTACATCTTGACCAGAAGCATGAAAGAGAAGAAATAGTAAGAGATACGAACTGTTCAGCTTGAGAATTTTTCCTCTGCACCTCTACTACAAATGTGGATAATTAAACACATCCATAATCACAAAAGATAAGAGAACAGGATATAAAGCATCTTCCTTCTGGGGAACAGGACAAACACTGATTTTTCACAGACTGGCAAAGTTCCCTCTCTAGGCACACTGGTACTTCATTTTCCGCCGCTGTGCTTCTTGAGCCTTTCCTCTGAAGGACTTCTTACGATGCAGGTACAGACAAGCCAAAGGTTGAAATAGCAAGAACAAAAGCAACCCAAAATTTCATCTGCTAGCTGACACTCCACCTTTATTCACCTTGGCTTTCGCCAGAGCTTGGTAATAAACAGGGGAGATACGTACATGAGCCTGCTCAATCTACAAAGCACACACCTGGCAATGCACTTGGTCTAAGAACATAGCCTGGTATTACAAAGCAAACCTACATATTTATCTTTGAAGCAGTAATATTGGTTTTGACTGTGGTTTGGGGTTTGTTTGATTTTGTTCAGACTGGCAAGTGGCTTTGTACAACTCAAAACACTTTAAGACCACAGTGTACACATTTGTTTGAGGTGCTTACTGTTGCTCCTACACAAAAAAGGTAAAGAGTGTTTCTATTACATAGTAAAGGTAAGGTAAGAAAATCATGGCACTTCAATCAAACTGTGAAATGTTGCACTTGCTCCAGAAAAACTGTTATATGTGTTTGCAGAAATCCATGAGAACTGTGCCTAGGCCATCCACAACACGAAGAAATAACTTTGAGCTCTGTAATGGAAAGTTATGCAACTGAAATACGAAAGTACTGCAGTTTCACTGACTTTGTACTGAAGTGGCAAAACTGAAATGCAAATGACTTCTTTCTCAGTTTTACCTAGTGTCCTTCTCTTGTAAAGAATATGTTACCTAGGGCACAAAAATCATCTACAACTGCTCAGCAGATTTGCTCAACACAGGATCATGCTCGCTCCGCATGCTGCTCTTTATCTTGCTCTTTCTCAAACAGAAAACAAGCATTTTGAAGTTACTACAAATAAGGCAGACGATAATCTACAATTTATTTCTCTTGCACCCTATCTCCCCTTTACTGTATACTTTAAATATAAGCAAAACTCACAGTCATGGCCAGCGAGTCCTGATTGCACCCAAGGGTTGACAGGGACTCTGACTAGCAAGTAGCCTTGAATGTCCTAACTGATGCAATACAAAAATTTAACTGGATTGGTCAAAGTCAGCACATTAACAACTTGACTGCCCTCCAGCTCATTCGTTAGATCCAGCATTAAAGGTTAACACCAGAAGCAACGCAGTTTGCAGGAGCGGGGAGGAGCGCACAGGGGCCAGGCTGTGGCTCATGTGCACAGGAGCAGCCGCAGTGTCAGTACAGCTGCGCATCAAGGACGGCAGGCAGTTCACCCGGTGCTCCAGCTGTTCCAGCTGTGGTTTTGGCAGAACACAGGACACTGCAGGGATGAATGAATATGCTTATGGAGACAAGAAGGACAAGACTTGGGAAACAGGAAGTTTTTCCAGGTTAGCCTAATTTATTGCTTGCATAGCCCCAGTCCCCATTATTTCCTCTGCAATATTGCACATATTTAAATAAACATTCTGTTCTGTTTCAAATGTCCCAAGGCATGAAAGTACAATAGCAGCCTGGCAACGGAAACAATAATCAACACTTCAACTAGTTATCATGAAGGAAACACGGGGGAGATTTGTTAACACTGAGGTCGCTGTGTCAGAAATGAAGAACAGGTTTAGAAGGAGACTTGGGACTCGCGCTTCTGGGCTCACTGCATGGCCAGAGTTGCCACAAGTTGTTTCGATCTGATTGGCCTCCTAATCCCCATCACCCCAGGGGAGGGTAGTCAGTTCACAGCACTGCCCTGCATTTGGCAGAGGGGCTGTTTCACTCTCTCTCAGCACATACAGTTTCTGTATGGGAGGGGACCGAAGGGAAGAAACAGCAAAGCCCTCTTACCTAAAGAGCTGCCCAGACGGCGACTATGTGCGACAGGTGGGAAGTGAGAGATTCCAGCAGGCTCCTGAGACAAGGTGCTTCATGGATTTAGAGCACCTCATCTGTGAAGACAACTTCTTGCCTAGTCCTGGCAACCAAAAGCAGCAGCGTGCCAGCCTAATTAATTACTGGTTTAAGAATCTGAAGGGCTAGAATCCATTTTAAGACGTTACTAAGGAGAAGATGCCAAAAACCAACAATGGGACAATTTATTTTTACTGACTCACCGGTGACTTTTGTAGGTGCAATTTGGACAGCTGACAGGTGAGAAGGGTAGTCAGGGCAGATGATCCTAACACATCAGAAGCAACTCCTTTTACCCTACCCAAAGTTAGTCTTAGCGAATCCCTTTCTGTAACATGACAGTGCCTTTCCAGCCACTTATACTTAAGCTACGCCCTATCTGTAATCAGTATCACCCTAGATCTCCTCAGAATTAACCACTCCCGAGCAGTCCACAAAACAAGCCCTGCAGTTGTACCATAATGTGAACGTTCTCTTGACCTGATTTTATGCTGGTGTAAAGCTAAAAAACCACAAAGAGGTTTCTGTGGAACTGACAGATAATGTAAAATTCAATGCAGTACGGTGTACACTAACGCATGATGCACACTAAGGTCTTTGTGTTTGATCAGAGACGCAGTCCAGGGGTAAAATAAGGTTGACACGTGAAGACCAGACACAGTATGCTATTAAAAATTATTAAGTAGCCTATTAATTAGATTCTATTACACTTATAATCATTAGATACTTCTGATATTTTTGCATTCTGAATCTCAAAATTATTCCATTCACACACATGCTCCCAAGTTAAGAATACAAATCATACCTCCAGAAAACAGCAGAGTAAGTATACATATGGAAGTATACATATGGGTGTATATTTCCTTCCTTGTGATATTCCAGTCAATACGAACCACAACACGGCTACTAGATGCTGCCAAGAGCAAAGGAAAACAGGATGCATGGCTACATATAGGGGTTCACACCCCATACTATTTTTCTTTTAGAAAGGTAAAATACACCTGTAACAGCTTCCGTGACAACAGTACTAGAGCCATCATCCAAAAACCCTATCTGCCTTGAATTCTTATGAAAAAATAGAAGGTTGTAGCTTGGATTTTGCAGAAGTTACTCAACAACAATTTCTAGAATTTTGCAGCCAGCTGCTTTAAAATAGCAAATGTGAGAATAAAGAGATAATTTGGTAACATTTATCTTCACTAAAAGCAGCAGCCATGCAAGGAGTTGGGGCTTTGGAACAGAATCAGGTCTCATTTGATAACCCCTATCATTTTATATTTAGATAACTTCCTGTGAAAATCAAGCATATCTGACAGTACCTGTTCCTCTTTTTCTTTGGTCTTGCTCCTGGAGATTCTGGAAGAGGTAACATCCTGAGCCGGAATGACAGAGATTTGATGCAGTGGCATGTTCATCACACCGCCTTGTTTGGTCCTATCATTTACAGGAAGGAGGTTTGAAGGCAGTGCTCATTCGGTGCCATTGTCAGGCCTTGCACCTAAAAAATAAAAATATTAGATGATGTTAAAGTAGCTTGAAATGCAATTATTTCTAAACCAAAGCTAAGCCATCAATTGGACCAAGGTGCACTTCTTATTTTCTCTCTGGATTCCAAACAGGAGAGAGTTTGGTGCACTGGCTGGGTGAGAAAAGACACAGGAGTTTTAAAGAGCTAGAACTAGACAGGTCAGAGCACAATTTATGCAAATGAATGAATAAATAAATTATCAACCAGTTCTGAAAGTGGTCCGAGAGCAGAGCCAGAGGGCAGGGATCACACTCCAGTCTGCGTGAATAGGGAGGAGGAGGAAGAGCAGCGGGAATGGACTACCTGGAGGTGCAGAGAGCAAAGCTCGTGCAGGTAGTTTCCTAAACTGCCAACCCCACCATACTGGATCAAACTGCCTCAGGCATCGTCCTGAATCAGGCTGAATGCCATAGCTTTGGTTAAAAATGGTCAGTGGCCTGCATTTGGCTCCTGTCGTTCAAATAAATGTGTACCAGCTGGCAATAGGAAGATGCATCACGTGAGCTGTTCCTTTCTTAAGGCTATTAGAGAATAATATCATCAAAACCCCTCGCTAGGAATCGGGAATCCACTGGACTACACGCACTTTATCCTTCTTTTACTAATACAACAGGGAAGCATTACACATAGGAAAGACAGTGATAGACATAAATTAGCCAAAATTGGCAACACTAATCTGAAAGGCAGGCATAATTAGCCATACCTTTTGTTAGATTAGCGAAGTTACATTAAATAAAAAGCTTTTTGAAACATGTAGGATCATGTTTATTTGGAATGTAACCTGCCACAAATGAGACAATCGTGTTTAAAGAAAGGATTAGAGGGGAATTAACACAGCAGAGACTATACTAAATAGGGCAACTGGGTGATGCACTGTTCTTCTATTTCCATAACATATCAGCTTTCTGTTTGTTTGTTTTTGAATCTGTGACAGCAGAAAACAGGGAATAGGTAGATGGCCTATATATTATTATGTTGCTTAACAATTTGGAAGTAGTATAGCCTACCACTTAGTGCATACCCTTAACTTATATTGCACACATTTTTAATTGAATATTTAATGAATTGGAAGTTTTAAAGGTAGGCCAAGCTTCCTAGGTTTCTGATTCTGCGAAAGATGCTGGTCTGGTTCTATTTCCATTAGACTCCACAGGAGTATTGCAGTTGTGTAAAATAAAAACAGGATCAAATATTTTGACTGCTTTCGATTAAACGGCAAAAAAAAAAATTCATTACCTATCCCAAGGCACTTTATACGAGGAATGATATTTCAGTATCCTCTTTGCACTGAGGGAGAAAGAGTTATCAAAGGTCATAGAGCAAGTCATGAGCAAAAACAAAAATGCAGGTAATGCCTGCTGCTTCCCAATCACACACTCCATTTGCTGGATGATGCTATCCGCCCGTTAGAGTGCTCAGCCGAATTCAGAAGCGTTACTGACACGTGGTCAGGATTTATATTACTTCCACAGATGTCAAGACGGCGCATCATAAAGCATGCATGAAAGCTTTGAAGGCAATGCCTCCATAACTTCTAGGCATCACTGACTTAAAAAAAAAAACAACCCACAACAAAAACACATCTATATGCATAAACAAGCAACAACAAGGACACTTCTTTATTGGAGGACAGAGGGAAACATGGGACTTACCAGCACTATTGAATCTCAGCATAAAGCATAAAGAGAAAACACCGAACCTCCCCAGGTCCTCTACACACCTCTTTAGCTTCATCCTCTAAAGGAGTCAAGCCAGAGGAGAGATAAACGTGGGCTGAGATAGGGATATCAAACTGCAATAAACAAAGCTGGAAGGGAAGGTATTTTCCCAAGAAAATATAAGGAAATGAAATCCAGAGAACATTAAGCTCCAATGAAAATATGCCAGGTAATGTGTTCTGTGCTACTGCCAGCGATAGCTGAGCCAAGGGGAAGGAGATGGACTCCACTCTGTGTCCCCCTCAAAAAGGGTTCTGGGCTTGCAGGCAAGACATGTTATTACCCTAGAGAGAACAAGGAAAATTATTAGAAAACACAGTTAAACCTCTCTGATGATAACAAACAAGTCCAACCAGTTTTTCTGCAGGTACTTCGAGGATAGCGTGTGTTAGAATTTCTTTTGAAAGAGCTCAACCAGCAGATACAATCCTATTATATATTCAAAGATGATGTGAAACAGCCCTCCTCTGGTAAAGAAGCCTGGCAGACGCTCTAATAAAGCCTGCCTTTGTTCAAGGGTGGCTTAGAAAAAGCTCTAAACTTAACCCAGATGCTACACTGTAGCATCCCCAGTCTGGAAGGCCCGTAGCAACGCACACACTCAAAGCCTGTCCGTATCAACCTGAACCACGTTAACATCACGGTGCTAATTAAAGGATAAAGTTACATGAGTCAACAGACCATCTGCAGTACCAAGTGCGAACAGACAAGGATGCCAGAAAAGCAATGCCGCTCAACACAAAGCAAGTTACGACAAGCTCCACAGGAGGTTTTCCACAGCTAAATTAAAACACCTGCTCCCTGATCCAGGGGTGAGGAGTTGGGCACCTGCAAAGAGGGATCCACGCTTCAAGCACGTCAAACTGGGGGCCTGCCAAAAAGGCCCCCGGGGAAGAAATGCTCAGGCAAGGGGGCTGCTCCTAGATAACTCCCTTCTCTTCAGGATTCCCAGTTAAGATGTTCAGGCCATCCCTCACACAAAGGGATCCTCATTGTCACAGCACCTCCACCCAACAGCTGAGTACACTCACCCAAGAGGTGGCAGATAAAGGCTCAACTTCCTCCTCCCTTGTGCGGGATTCGGTTCATAAACCTCACACGCAAGGGTCTGTTCACAGAGGAGGGACTTTCCAGCTCCTTTTTGCCTGGAAAGCTGAAGTAATCATGGGATGGCAGGATAGGGAAGGAGAGGGCACA